TCCCTCCAGGCTTGTATGGAAGCTACACTTGGTGCTGAAGGTGATAACAATTACAAGCTTCCTCATATGGGAAAGGCGAGTCTTTTGCGCGAAGGTACCCTCCCGATCTCCATTATCTGTAATGACGAAAGCCTCTTGGCTGGTCAGCAACTGCTAGCTACTAGTAGTAGTGCAAGTGCAAGTAGTTAATAGTATAAGTAATACTTCTAGTGAATATTAAATGTTTTCTGGTACAAACTGCACACAATCCTACACAGTTGTGATAATGAGGACATTTATTAGGAACAGCAAAAAAGGGTCATAGGTACATTTATTTGGGAACGGAGGAAGTAGACGATTACTTAGAGAAAGTGCTTCCTTTATCATGACGTTCTAAGAATGTTCGAGAACAGTATCGAGACAAATCTCGGTGGTTTCGATCAACATTACTTCTTATACTTAAAGTATCATTATTCAAGATCTATTTGTATTGATTGCTAGGGCAATAATATAAGTTGGTTCCGAATGATGTCAGGCACTGATCCTATAGTGATTTCCGGCGAGTCATACACTACTATGGTCTCTTGAACAGAACGAACCAGAAGGTGGATAGTCCGTAGAAACTATTGCAGTCATTTCTACTGCAATCGTATTTGTTTTCAGCGACTGCGTACCGAGCGTTGGAAGCTATTGGAACAATCTCCAAGAAAATGTCGCCTTTCAAAGATCTACGTGCGCGTAGAAAACAAGTGCATTGAATGAATAGATACGTTTGTGAGCCCTTGGAGCAAATTTCCTTGAAGAATTCATTTCAGAGAGTGTCGCTCATAATTAGCAAAGAGGAAAGAAAAACGTGTCAGTGGGAACGGAACGAATTGTTCTCGACAATTTTTTTCCCATTAAAATACCAAGTGAAGCATGAACCGAAAACTTCCGAATGCCCACAAGGTGCAAGATCCCATCACCATGGAAACAGCAGCAGGAAGCAGCTCACGCAAATCTCGCTTGTCCGTGGCAACTACTGTGGCACTATCGGTTGTCACAACCACAATTGTTCTCTCGGCCATCTTTTTCTATCTCAATGACTACGTTGTTGTGGTGATGGTGAAAGAAAGGGGGTCGCTTTCTTCCATAGGAATGTCTGCTTTGGAAACAGATAGTCGGTGGGGCATTGCGCAGCAACGGCGGCTGGGAAAACGGGAACATCGCCGGCAAGAGCAAGGGGAAAAAACAGAAGACGAAGAGGACCTCAAAAAAGAACGACGACGGAAAAGAAGGGAACGGAGGAAAAAACGCTGGATGCAACGAAGAAAAAAACGTTCCAACACCACGCAAGAATCCTACCGCATCGTATGTCTTGGGAACGAGGATATCACGTACATACCCATGCAGCGATCGCCATCGCCATTGATGGGTGGGATGGTTGGGAATAACACGAACGCAAACAATGTACGTTCGAGTGGAAATTTGTACCCCGGAGAGGGAATCATCGGATCCCAGATCCTTATGAACGGAAATGTCTATCCTTCCGATGAGATTTCGGTCGAGTTCAATTCTGTGGCCGGAAGCATGCCAGACCACATCCCCGGATCGATCTTCGCCCAAAAGTGCATGGCGACCAAGGGCACAGCGAGCTTCGAGACCGGGACTCCTGCCATCGAGATCCAGGAAACTATGTGCGAGTACAATTTTTGTTTGCCGGATCGGGGCTGCCTCTTCCTCACATCGGGTGGTCCGTACGTCTTCAATCCCTTTTCCTCCGATCCCCAATCCGTTCCGGTAGTAGAAGCTGCCATCATGGGTGGAACCGGCGAATCCTCTCGACTCTATGGTGGAGCCCGCATCAAAACGATGGTTCGCTCTAACGACGACAGCGCCGATGGTCAGGGAGTAGCCGTTCTTCAAATGGATTTGTATTACCAGGTCCTCAAGAGCCGGAATACTCCGGTATACATCGATCCGACAGAGGACAAAACGATCGACATGTAAGAGCAGAGTGGAATCTAAGGCAGGAAAATGCCGGGGAACGAACCGCCATCCGCGTTGCTATGCGAGGAACCATGCAGTTCCAACACGGATGTTGGTGATGCTGGGACCGACACAATCGCCCAGAACGATAGCATTCCGACACAATTTAATTTTGTGGCGCGATCATTTTCGACGAGAAAATCGTTGAATGGATAGGGGCCTTCGTGAAAGAATTACAGTAAATGGAAATTCCTTTTTGAACAAGACAGCATTTTTTTCGACAATTCTAGATTGCGAGACGTGCGAAGTACAGTACCTTCTAGTATGGGTACTGCCTGTACTGTAATACTCGAAGTGACTACTATGTTGCAAAAATGTTCAACCCTCCCACGAAAAACACAACAGCATATCACCAAATTTCGTGTTGTCGTCACAATGGAACTTGTCGTAATTTGTCCTATCGTGTCACCCGGAATACTCCTTCTAGTACTACTGTAGCAGTACTGGTATTGGTATTGCAACAAGAGGCCAACAATGGATTCCTTCTGACAATGGTGCTGGTTGGCGAACTGCACGACTGGTGCCTTGTTTTGCCCTTTCTTGTCCATCTACTATTCCTGGCGACAAATCATGCATAGTTCACAAAGCCAGCAACACAAGGCCAGCAACACAAAGCACCAGGGTACCTTCACTATTTGTACTAGTACTAGTAGTACAAGCACAGTATTAGTAGAACTACCGACAATACCGATGCTTGCTGTAGTATGAGAAGCATACGCATTCGTACGGTGTTCCCTCGGTCCGGAAGCGTCCCCTCGTTTCCCGCTCGTTCGCTGCTTCGCGTTCTGGATCAAGCCCGCCGCCGGGTGGTTTGTTTCCTGCTTCACTGCTTCACTGCGAGAACACTATTGAGCCACCGACCGAATGGGTGGCACGAAGCGCTCGGTAGCGCCCAGCAGTTTCTCCATGGATTTGTTTGTTCTTCCGTAGTTTTAGGGTAAAACGTAAGAATTGATTTCTTTTCTTTAAATTATAAATTGTCTAGTCGTACAGTAAAAATCATAAATCATGGGCAAGTATATCATATCATTTCTTCCGTGGATGGGTCGATTCGATTCGGTTCGATATCGAGCAAGACACCAGCGCCGTGGTCGTGGTGTGTCATCGGTTCCGTTCCGAGAACCAGGAAGCTTCGGGAGGAGGCGGAACGAAGGGCCTCGCGGTTGTTATTCGCGGCGGGTGTGGTGGCACGCCACGGAATTGGAATTCGCATTCGCATTCGCATTCGCAACCCCTGTGGAACGCATCTAGGGGCAGGAGGAGAGGGACCCCCCGGCGCACGAGAAGGTGTTGGTGGAACCCGAGCACGTGCACTCGACGGTCCCGAAGGTGTCGTGGTCGTAGCAGCAGGTGAATTCCTCGAATCCCGAAGGGTTGCAGGCGTCTCCCGACATGGGGGCCTCCGCCCCGCAAAAGTTGGGGTTGATGGCCAGGTTGTTGACGGAAAGGTCGACGCCGATGCCGACGTCCGCGACCGGGGCCAGGGGGGGTGCCAGCGGGTTGGTGACGGTGACGATCGTGGTGAGGTCTTCCTTCTCGACGTCGAGGGTCCCGGATCCCTGGTTGGTGCAGACCCACGTGTCCTCGCCCCTGACGCAGGTGCAGATGGGAACGGGGTTGTATTCGTAGTAGGGGCAGCTCTTGATGTTGGCATCGCCCACAAAGGTGCAATTTGTTCCGCTCTCGGGCAGGGTGGCGGGGCAATTGACCGTGTCGATCACCACTTCGCTTGCGGGTCCTTGTCCCTGTGGTTCTTGTGGTTCTTGTGGTTCTTGTGCCCCGGGGGCATCTTCGGCGAGTTGCGAGGTGTTGAGGGTGCTCGCGTCCCAGACAGCGGGTCTCCCGGCGTCCACGTAGGCCTTGTCGACCCTCTTGCCGCACTCGAAAAAGGGCTTGAGAAGGTCGGTTGAGCACCTGGTTCCACAGGCCTCGTTGTTCCTGCAGCTGCTGGCGGATCCCTGGGCGGTGGAGGTTGACAACGAGCCAAAGGCGAAGAGGCATTTCATGCAGTTTTCGGGGGTGGCGTCGGCGGTGATCATGGGCAAGGTGCACAGGTCGATGTTGTTGATCGGAGTTCCCTGGCAGGCCTTCTTCCAGTCTTCGAGATCGGTCGTCGTCTTGGCAGGGGCGGCAGTGGGGGGGKTCGCAATGATCTGGAATTGAGGGTTTAAGTTAACACTACTACCGGGTTTTTTGTTATTTTTTTTGTCCTTGTCCTTCTTGTTCTTGCCCATGCGGCCACGCTTGAACAGAAGGGATCGTTCGTCCTGTTCCTGTTCCAATGGCTGGTCATTGCTGCGAAGGTATTTGCGCTCCCCCCGAACCGCGGAAACAAGACCGAAGTTGGAGGCGGTCGAAGCGAGGGCGAGGGTGGCGAGGAAGACGTTTTGGTAGATCATGTTTTGGCTGGCTTGGGGTGAAAGTTGGCTTGGATTCTTGGGGTGCAGAGAGGTGCTATGTGGTGCGATGTGATGTGATGCGATGTCTTTTGTCGGATAGGTACKGCAGGAGAACACAACGATGCGATGCGATGCGATCTGATCTGACTCGTGCAATGGATGGATGCTGGGTTTGGTTTTATGACACCCTCTGGAATAAAAGAGATGCGCTTCGGTTCCCGTGCCTTCTTCGTGCACCAAAACCGCAGTGACACAAGATGGGAGGGAACGCGAAGACGAGAATCGACGCGATGCCAGGGGTTCGTACGGTACGAGTACGATACGTGCAGTATTCGATTCGATTCGATTTTGATTTCGATACTCCGCATCACCAATTTTGCGGTTTGGCTCTTGCGAGAATCTCCCGCACGAACCCAGTGTACGGACACGGGTACTGGTACGGGTACGAGTACTGTAGCGGCACGTGCGCGACGAATTCGAGGTAGGTTGCCCCGGTGGCACGATCCCAAGCCCTCGAGAATCGTGTCGGAGGAACAAAAATTCGGGACGAATTTTGGTGGGCTGTTTTGCACGCCGCGCGATTGCGCGGGAACGAATGTCCCGGTTGGATCTTCCTCGGTGGGGGTCCGTCGTTTGGGTCTAAGCAGATCGGATATTTAACGGCTCTCTACCGCATCTCCTGTCACGCAGTATAAGTAATCCCGATCACCCCCACGTGTAGGACGGGGTAGGTGTCACGCACTCCCGATGACCCGGTTGAATGGTGGCACATGTATCCGGGAATGCACGTGCCGCTTGTGCTTTTTTTGTATCCTGTTTTCTTCCGAAATATTTGGCGGGGGGCTTCGCGTTTGTCCAAAAATTTGGCAATAGAAGGATCTCGAAAGAATTTGGCGCTCGATTCGTGTCGAAGCGATTTCCGCGAAAAAAGCAAAAAAAAGTGCTTTCGAATCTTGCGAGGAACATACAACTACTCGTACCCTACCATATCCGTTGTAGCTTTCTTTGCTTGTACGGTACCGAAGAACAAGACCAGTTGCAACTTGCATCGCGGCAACTAACAGGATTGGAATGGAACTCCAAGAAAGAATTTCGTCCGGCCTTTCGTTCCTCGACTTCCTTGCCGTCGTCGGAGAATCTTCGTTGTGCGGCCCGGAATCATCTGTGAATCTTTCTTCCTCGTACTATCGTATCCGTTGCGAGTGGTGCGGTTGGACTCCCGAAGCACTCTCACGAGTGCCGGACGATGCTCGCTACTAGTACTAGGAGCACCCGCCGTTTCGCCATCGGGCATTGCACGGCAGAGAACATAGGATGGCATGCCGTGCCGATGCTTTCCTCCCTTCCTTCGTTTCGATCGAACGGAACGGAATGGAATGGAACCGCAGCTCCTCCCGCATGTCGCAATGGAACACACGGCACCTCTGGAGCCTGTCGGAATCAATGATGGAGTCGTCATTGACGATTCGGACCGCCGACGAATGGCGCCGCATAGATTCGAATCGAATCGAATCGAATCGATCGAATCGATCGAATCCAATCCAACTAATCCAATCGTCCTCTTGTTATGCAGTACCGGTGCAGCAGTCTTTCGATCCATAGTAGCTCGTCAGGTCGATGGAGCTGTCTGGCGGTGCAATCGGTTTGTGCGGAGCTTTCTCGTCTACTCATCACCTGTCGAACTCCCATAAAACTCCTCCTCTCCATCTCAAAGGTCGGCCTTGTTGTTTGTACTTGGTGGTATGTTTGAATTGTCAGCAGTTGGGGTGGTGGGCTTACGTCAAAGTTGTCGGATATACTACTCTCTATGGATCGAGTCAACATCCCCTGTGTTCATGGGATAGTTGGTAGCTCGGAGTTCTGCAACTCCTCTTTGCCATTGGTCGGACCCAATGGGATGGGTTTCTTTCCTGTTCTTCCGCGTGTTCCTGATCTCCTACTAGAAGGTTGTCCGCAGTATCACTCCTACAGCTCCCCCTACTAGATGGGAATGACAATGGAGGTGCCATGATGTTGGTGCTGGATGTCATGAAAATAATGCCTAGAACAATACAATAATGACCAAGTCAGTTGTGCATCCCACTGCTACCAATCATAAGAAGACCATCATTATTGCTAGCTCCTGTACTATTAGTAGAAGCGTCCACCTTCATGCTGTTCTGTTCTTCCTGCCTGCACTCCTCATGTACCAAGGTTCTGTTCTGCAACAAGGGGAGGAGACAGTTCTTTTGTTGCTGGTGAAGTCAATACTGCTGTTTCCTGTGCTATTAGTAAAATTATTGCTACCGTACTGTTAGTAGTGCTGTTTCTATTTCTGTTATTGAGAATGACCCATGAAGCGGTTTTGCGGTTTTACGACAGAGAGTAAGGTTATTCACGAGATATTCGGGATTCGACCTTCAGCTCGTGTTGTGTCCTCACAATTCGTGATCCAATTGGTTCGCTTCGGAACTTCGGAAGTTTGCGATCTGTACTCGTGCCCTGCGAGTCAGTGCGAGTACACTTCCTACCGCAAAAATGTTGATGTGACACACCATGACACCCGAGGGTGTCAGAAACCATCACCGATTTCTTCTTTCGGAAGTTTTGAACACAAGGGATGACTCGTGGCTCCCTATCATAGCGATACGGAACGATAACCGGACTGCACATCTCGTGTTCCTGCAGTCTGTTTCTTTCAATAGTGCCCGTACGGTACCGTACCGTGCTCTTGTCGTCCGGCGTCTCTCTTGCCAAACACCATGATTCCATCCATGTTTTCTTGCTTGAATTTCCTACTTACGTGTGGCACATGCCGTGCAGTACTTKGTACGGTATGGCGTCGCATTACGAGCTCTGTGATCGCCAACGCACGAACCATCCATCAACGGATACAAATCCATCAAGAATGCTTTTTAAAAATTCTTTCGAAAGAGTACGAGTACGAGTACAAGTTACTGTTTAATACTACTCGTATCATCCGATGGATGAGAACCGCCCTAGGTGTTTTCTCGCCGATGCCTCGATTTTCTGCAAACATCCAAAAACATAATTCGAACCCAATCGTCAACACCCCAGTTGAGGAAATAAAATACAAGAACATTCTGCGCCGTGCAGCTAACAACATTCGCGACCATGAGACTCATTCAATCGTTGGCCTGCTGCCTTGCGTTCCTTTCCTCGGGTCCGCCGCACACACTCTTGTGGTGGACCGTTTCGCTGGCGGTGTCTGCTTCGTTTGCTTCCTCCACGCCTCATCTCTGGACGAGTGAACACAGAAGGCACGCTAGCTCTTCCAAGATGGTTCCAGGTGGGCAGGGGGCGTCGACGAGAGCGATTGATGCTCTTCGGACAAGAAAAAGGTGTCCACTGAGAGACATTAACGACAACGACAACGACTGTGAATGCGAATGTGAACCCGTTTGGGATAGAGACGATGGAAATTACGATGGCGATGGCATCAGCATCGGCATCAACACCAACGACGAAGATAATTTCGATGCAAGCTCGTCCTGCTGGTACCCGATCAATCGGTTCGCTCTGGAGAAGGACCACGAGCGACGATCTGTGCGGGCCGCCGAATATGCACACGGCACGGCAGATGCAAAGATCGGGGGAGAGTCCACCGACCAAATTCCTTCGAGTACTACCGGAGAGGGAATCTTTGTGTAGCACGGCGGCATCGCGTCTCTTTTTCAACAAGGCACGAGTCGAAGCAATCTGTCGTACGTAGCATCTGCTGAGCCTCGTTGCGCTGCACAGGGAACTAGCCACATCGTGTTAGGTAGCTGGCCAGCCAGTCATCGAATCAGACCGCCATAGCTCCAGAGTTCACGATTCAATTCTCTCTGGAAACTTGGGGAAACAAAACTTCTCCGACGTACCATTCCGCCCAACCAACACAACTATATGCGCAAGACTACAGGCGAAGAAACACACACAGCCATTCAAGATAGAGGGACTCGAGTTCTGACGGATGAATTCTTGTCTCCTAGTTTGATTCACTTTTCTCGACAGCATCGCAAAACATAGCTGTAGAAGCAAGTGAATACGGAATCGAGTGAATCGAATCGACGTCGTCGCAGTTGGGAATATTTCCGCAATGCTATCGCTTTGGTGTTGGATGCATGGCCTGCAACCCATCACCGGAAAGCAACTCATTTTAACTCAACGCATAAGAGAATGAGTTGAACACGAAAAGAAAAACAAATTGCTGCCGACAAACACATAGCCTGTCTGCACACTAGACAATAAGCTATGATCAACCGATCTAGAAAGATGGAATAGAGTCGAGTCCAGTTGATTCCATGCGATTCCAATGACCTATTTGGAGGGGGGAATCTAACCGAATTTCGAATTGACAACTATGTTTATAGTACATTCCAAGAGCCAATTTCGGGTTTTGGTTATACTAATGATACAATTAATTACATAGCAACACTTTAATAACTCAGCACTATGTTTATTTCGTGGGATTTCATTGTTTCATTTTCGTACCGGTTTGATCGGAAATGCATGATTCCTTTGGCAGCGATGGCGACTATTACTGTAGCTCCCGATCATTTGGTCGCTGTTCTTGGTCTTTGGAATTGCGGACGACGACAACAACCCATAGTTTGCGGTCCACCGCAGGTCTCGGTGGAATGCCGTGTGCTGTTGTTCAATATCGTCGATGCCACTTTCACGGTTGCGGTGGCCTTCGTCGTCGGTAGGAAAGGAGTGCGCCCTCCGCATTCGCACAGCTTGCGTTTTGCAGCGACAACCGCGCCGGCGACGGACAAAATCCACGTAGTCGTCCGTCGTGTACCACGATCGTTGGCGTTCCTCGTTGGTGTAGCTTTTGTGGGCCGAAATGGACAAAATCCCAATGCGGTTGCTGAAGCGAACGCTCTTGTTACTTTGTTGCTGTGTTGTGGCAATCGGAGTGTTGTTTTCGGCAGCAATTTTGTCTGCGGCGAACGAATATGAATGCGATGGATGTTGCGTAATTACAAGGTTTTGTTTGGCTTGTGATACTGGTGTTGGTGCTTTTCGCTTGACCCCCATCGTGCCTTCTTTTCGGTGGTGTCGCTGATTATGTATTTGAGAATATCGATCCTTATGATTGTGAGAATCCGATGTTGCTGCCGATGATACGCACATAATAGCTGGGTTGTGTGCAATGATCTGCAACAGGAGGTCACACGAACGAATGATGGTTGATGCTTTATGGCGTTGCGTGGGATGTCACTTTGGTTGCAACAATTGGGGTTTTGGATGGTTTTGTAGGTATTTGTTCTTGTTTTCTGTCGTGACAAAGTGATATGCAAGTGCCACACCTCAATTTTGTGATACCTGCATCTCGGAGTGAACAATCCACGATTGAGAGCGGTGTTAGGGAAACACACTCCGATTGCAACTAAGACAGGCACGTGCTACGATTAAAAAAATTCAGCGGGCTATAAATAGGCCTAAATCTTTGTAGTCCGTTGATCGTGCACGATGTCACGCTCGAAGAGAATCAAATTTACAAAGAATCGCTCAAATTATCTTAAGCCGCCAAGAACCCAAAACCGTTGCAGAATGACAGCTTGGAACGCGTTGTATCTAAACTTCTTTTGTCGTAAAAAGTACTGGTTTATCAACGGTTCTGTTTGTAGTAAGGCATAGAGACCATACCAAATTTACACAAAAAATTAAGTCATACTAATACACTCACTACTAAACAAATACACCTCAAACTTAGGGTTGGGGTTAGGAACACTGATGTCTCAACATTCAATCACTACAAGGAGAGCTGATATGCCAAGTCCAAGCCAACAAATCAAAAGAAGACTAGTATCGTCAGAAGAAGGCCTCCAGCATGCATTGGTTTGCTACACTATTGTCCGAGTTTTGGTTGAGGAGAAGTTATGCACAAGGCCAGTTTGATGTCTCATCTGGTGGATGGAATTACACCAAGTCACTAGCAACATTCAAAACAACTAGTATGAGGAGAGCTTCTATGCCAAATCCAAGTCAACAAATCAAAAGAGGAGGACTATCAGAAGAAGGTTTACATGTATTGGTTCTTGTGCTATTGTTGTCCAAATTTTGGTTGAGAAGTTATGCGCAAGGTACAACTCCATAGTAGGAATCACCAACAAGCTTTTTAACCTTCTGTGGTGCACTGTGGCCAATGCCAATTTCAACATTCCATTGCTTTGCATACAACATAGTAGTTGTTTCAGCATGGGCCTCTGGTGGCTGCCTTGTGCTCTTCCATCAGCATCTTCTTGCCATTTGTACATATGACTTGCAGCTGCTGAGTATTCTTGCAAACCTCCTTCTGCACTACAGGAGGATGTTTCAATGCAGACAGTTTCTTTGTCTTTAAAATCTTTGAGGAAGGATGACTTGAAGAATCATCACTTGAAATAGGGAACGCACCAGAAGCCGTGCTTGCTGGTGGGTTGACTGACAAGAAAGGAGATATGTTGTTGTCAGCACTTCCTACTTGGACAGATGGAGGGAGAGCATTGCGTTGTTCCTTCTCCCACTGGTGACATACCCTTTACTGCAGGGTTGGATTTTCTTCAGTGCTAAATTTGGCAGCTGGCATAACCTCTCCTGTCACCTTCAAATACCCTATTGGACACAAGGTGAGTAAAAGATTCACTGAAAGATTCAGCATCTAAGATATGAGCCATGATTTTGTTTATTGCTTTAATCTACATGATAGACATAGGTTGAATAGGAAACAAAGAATTAGTAGTAGATAATTGGAATGCACTAAACTAGTAGTACTAGCACATTTAGTAGTAGCACATTTGCAATAACAGGAATAAAATTTTGAGTTGTTAGATGACAAGGAGTGCTGGCTCATTGGCAATCTTTTTGGGAATCTGGAATCTTGTTAGGAAACAGTTCAATGTTACTAAAATGGCTGGGGTGCTGTTGGTACCACTAAGAAAAACACAAAATTTAATTGTATGAACTTATAGTATGCTACTAGTAGTAGTACTAGTAAACCTCCTGTCTGTTAGTAAAAGGAAGACACAATTTTCTGATACTCATAGTATTAGAAATTTGTGCTTTCCTTGCACTGATATTAGACTAGTAGTACTAGTAGTACTAGTAGTACTAGTAGTAGTAGTAGTAGTACTAGTAMTAGTAGTAGTAGTAGTAGTAGTACTACTACTAGTAGTACTACTAGTAGTAGTAGTGTTTCCTCCTAGAAAGAAAGAAGGTCACAGTGGGGGTCATGGAGATCACTATGATATACTGGCAAATTCAGTTGGATGATCAGCACCTCCAAAGTTATCTAAAAAACTATCTCCAGAAGAGAGGCAAGGGGGAGAGGCAAAGGAGGGCCAGGAGGATGCCTGGGATTGCAATCCATTGATATGCTCAATCTGCCTTCCACCATCTCATCCACTCAGGGCTTGATCAAGAACTCCTCAACTGGTGTTGGTGTACTACTAGGCCACAAGGTCTTCAGATATCCACTTGAGGTCCTTTGCTCCAGTTTACACCAAGTACACTGTCAATAATGACAATGAGATTGTGGAAGTTCCTTCTTTTTCTAAGACCAGGAAGCCCAAGGGGAAGAGGTGTGCTAATGGACTGATGCTCCTATATTGGTTCCGGACAAGAGGATCTGTTTGTACAAGATAAATGGTCATGACATTCAGCTTGACATTGAGGATAGTGAAGAACAAATGCTTGTCCTTGTTCTTCACAAACATCCACTTGCCATGGTGGTCAGTTTTCCAAATAAGAAGAAGTTGATGATTATTCAGGTTATTGGAAACAAGAAGTATCCGTGACTTGCAGAACAATGTGCTCAGACTGTAGCTGATGGACTGAAGAATGTCATTTAAGCCTCTGAAGACTGCTGGTATAAACAAAGAGCATTTTACAATGCCCAGAAAGAAGACACCTTCATTAATTTTATCTTTGTCTTTGCCCCTGATGGAATTTCAGGGTCTCAATCTTCAACTGCCCTGGGGCCTGGCACAACAGTGCTATCTCTGACCATGTTTTCTATCAAGGATTGAATAAGTCCAGGACTTGTTCAACAGAGCAAGGGTTTTGTCAACTCTGCCTTTGCACTGAAGGAGAAGGAGCATATCCCCATCAAGAGCACACAGAAGGACCCTGAGAGACAAAATCTTCTTCTTCTTTTGAATCAGGATACAACAGCCTTGAGACAGATATTGGAATGGGGGATGCAGATGATACGACAGGTACAGTGTCCAAGAATCAAAGTTCTCATGTTATTGGAGGACATGGAGAGAGGAGGATTATAATGAACCTGCTTGTCAACTTGTACTACAACTTTCAGTGCAGTGGTACCATAGTACTACTAGGACATAGCCAGATCCTTTCAGTCTTTATGAAGAGAAGAAGGAGGATTCTTCTTCCATGTAGGATGCAAGCTGTATGCAATTAAGCTATTTTGAGTTTGAATACCATGGTCAATGGGATGGTTTTTACTGTGGTTGATAGTTTAGGAAACATGGCTTTCAGTTAGCTGTGGTTGAATTGATATGATTACTACTACAACAAACACCTATGACAAACAAGAAGGATGACAGCAGAATCATGACAAATAAGGACAACAGCAGACTCACCAGCAAATTGCAATCCATAGTACAATCAATTCACTCATTAGAGGATCTCCCATGGTGGAAGAAAGAAGCAATGGTTGATTTCCTTAGATATGTTCAGTTGTGCTTGGGTGCTGGTTGAATCAGCACTGTTACAATACGGGGAGTATTCAAATAATGAAGAGCTTCTATTGCTGCTTCTTCTTGCTTCTTCTTACTAATAGTAGAAGTAGTACACTGTACAGTAGTAGGTTAGGTTTTCATGTAATAATTCTGGGATCAGAAAGTGTTCAATGTATGTGCACAATCCCACAAAACAGGGATCGATTGGTATTTACATACTACTATAATGGCTGTCATTGACTGACATTCATATACATTGCATCATCCATTTGTCTTCATTGCAACATATTGCTTTAGGTTGTATCGCTCTGGTGTCTTAACAATTTATTGATTATTTCTTCACTGCAGTATGACAAAGTATTTGACACTGAATTGTATTTGGTCTTGATGGAGTACTTGCTTCTGAAGTAGGGCGTGTGCTGCATGGTATGACTCAATATCATCTTAAATATCTCTCATAACCAAAAAGACACCAGTCCAATGATGTTCACTCAAGGCTGTTAATCATCACAAAAATGACTTAAAATGCATCCTTGGTGGCAGCTTCTATGATAGTTTTTGAATTGATTTTGAAAGCCTATGCAAAGAGATACAATTCAAAGCAAACCATTCAACAATACTGTTACCCAAACCAAACAAATCAATATTCCTGCAGCCATTGTCAAGTAAAGAACAAACATGGTACTAGCAAAACATTCAACAATTCTGTTCAGGTTGTCAATCAAAGAACAAGAAAGAACAAGATAAGCAAAGAAGAAGGATAAAATAAATCACTCAACAATTCCCATGGAGTTCCTGCTCATTCAGTTTTTGGTGGTGCTGGGGTATCATTCAATCCAGAATAAGATAATGATACTTTATTTAACTAAAACCAAACCAAACCATTAAAAGGCGCCTGGGTTATTCCACTGTTGTTTACAAAAAAATGTCCTTGGGTACTCAAACAAGAAAAGAAAACAAATGACATGTTCCTCTTGACCACCAGCAGTATTTCCTTCTTGGAATTGAGGTCATCATTCTCAATTTTTAAACTGCTGTTGCTGCCTGACAAGGAGGAGGAGAGCAATTGAAAAACAAAAAAGGAGCTTGTTCTTGTTGTGGTGGTGACTCTTGTTCCTCTTCTCTTTGTTTAGTATGCCATCATCATGTACTGTGTCACATAGTTGGAGAACATCCCAGAAAGAGCCAAATTCCTAGAATGCTGAATATATTTTGGCATTGCTTTCTCCCCAGACCAGACTGTTTCCCCCAAATAATACTTTACCTCTACATATGGCAGCAGTTAGCAGCATGCAAAACCAACTGCAGCTTGGACATTTGACTCCCTCCTTTCTCTCCCCACCAGTCTTCTTTAGCACAGTTTTGTACCTAGTATTCATGTCTCAAAACTCACTTTGATTCCTGGGAAGAAGGGACAGACCAAAGGATAATGATTGGGAACTAACTAATCAGCTGAGCACTCTCCTGTCAAAGCTATCACAAGGAAGACAATGAAGGTCAAAGCTGTAAGGGTTTATCAAGTAGACCTGGTACTCACCTCATGCCAAACATGCTCTCATTGTCCTGTAAACTACAGATTTGGTAGCAGTAGCTACTAAGAAACCAAACTGGAGGCTTTAGTACACTACTAAATTTATTAAACCGCGACCAACCCACCACCACCAAGGGGATCAGTGGCAAGTCTAGCACGAGTTGTCGTGATCTTTGCCTTATGCCCTGGATCTAAACAGCTGTGCTGAAAACACAACAAGAGGGACTCAGTAAAC